AATTTCTGATTAGTCGTTGTCGTCAAAAAATGACGTCATCAACAATGTCAACAGATATTTGTTTATAAACAAATATCTGTTGACATTGTTGATGACGTCATTTTTTGACGACAACGACTAATCAGAAATTGTTATAGTAAAAAAAAAACACCTGTAACAATGTTGGCATAATAACAATTAAAATTGTTACGTCATAGTTTTCGTTGACATTGTCGTATTTCATTAGTCTGAAAAGAACTGAGCTGTGAATCGAGTGTTGAAGAAGTGCGTCTTAGACAAAATACTTTTGTTCTATTGAAGAATACTGCCTTACACTCTCTGAATTTTGTTATTAATTCGATAGTTCCCATGGACGAAAATAAAGGTAAAGACTTTTTCTTATTTTATTGTTATTGTTGTTATTTATTAACATATTTACATGTGTTTGTGTAATTTTTTGATATCGATTCTTAGGCGCCATCAAATATAAGACGCACCTCGATTTGAGAAATTTTAAAATGTGAAAAAGTGCGTCTTAAAACGAGGAAATACGCTATGTCTTAGCAGTTAAAATTATATATTAACCTACATCATAGATGTAGAATAAAAAACTATTTGAGGAATGTGGCTGAAGGACCATACCTTCTATTTTCGTAGACGTCGTGTTAGTACTGTGTGATGACGTCAAGAGAACTTCTGCGCTACTTAGGCATGTAAAAGTGTAGTGTTTTGTTTTCAGAGTATCGGACTGGACTTTCCTCCCTTTGACCTAATGATTAGTTAGCTCGCAAACTTGATGGGTTGTGTTTTCCGTTTGCAGGCTCGTTGTTGGAAGGATCTCCACCCGATGTGCCACCTCGAAATCCCTCGATGAATCGATTAAACGGCCGCGTGGCCACAGGGATCATGGGCAACCCTGCCGACCGAGACGGCGACTTCGAGCCATCGTACCTCGTGAGGACACCGTCAGGAAACGTTTATATTCCCACAGGTGAGTTGGCGCTAGGATCGGGGCGGAAGGATATCTTTGTGATACTAAATAGTCCAAGACTTATTTTACAATTGTGGAAGAAATAAGAAATTCATACATTTCGGTCAGGAAATTTTAAGTAAAAGATGACGATGTTGCTCTAGGTTGTGACGCTGTGCAGGCTTGAAGTCAGATACCAACGTTTCCTAGAAAAATACTATCTCAATCTTCAGGACCGAAATCTCCATAGCTTCATAACCTAGAGCAACATCGTAAACCTCACCGACGTGAGAACATCAAATCCTTAAAAGGAAGAGTCGAAGTGGGAGATCTAGGTTTAGATGGGAGGATAATATTAAAAGTGATTTAGAGAAATTGTATGAGCATTCACTTTTGTGATAATGGAAACTGGTTCAGGACAGGGTCCAGTTATTGACTTCTGTGAACACGTTGAGGAATCTTTTCAGTTTCTTAAAAACATGGAATTTCTTATTAGTTTTTGCCTTCTAGTGTGTGAAGCTGGTGATTTGTAGCTAGATATTAACATTTCAGAGGAGCATACAACATACTGCCTCCAATTGAATAAAAATTTTCTTGGATATTATCCATCGTCTAGTAAACATAAAACGTAAAACGACGTTTCGGAGATGCCTCCAACTTCTTGTGTTTCTACGTACAAGTGCTAAGTGTATATTTCTACATTATTTTGTACTTCTGGTAGACGCTACATAAAGCACTTTGTTATTTACAGATGTACCGAAGGATTCTCCTTTGGACTACAAGTCCAATTCATCATGTAGCAGTCCCTCTAAAGGGGATATTCAGAAAAACTCTGAAAGGTAAAGATTACTTCTTTTTTAAGGTATTAAATTACGAAACAGTTTTTCTACACTCATATTTGTAATACAGAAATTCAAGGCAATATTAAATGTCTGAGCATCACAAAACCTCAGTGCACAATATTATGCATTAAAACTTAATTAAGCGTGTTTTAGCCCTGATATTTACAGCTTTCAAAACTCATGAAATGGAATGCAAGTTTTAATTATTTTTGCAGAATGTAATATCCGTATAAAAGTCGATGGGATTTTTGTGTAATTGATTACGTACTCATAGTCTTGAATTCGACTGTTATCTAATTTTTTCTCAGTTATGACGGCTGAATGCCGGTGGGGCAGTCACCTGTTCGTTATTTTTACATTTTTATTTATAATTCTTAAGGTGCTCTAGGATTTACTGCGATGTTCAGGACAGGACACATAAACGATTTGTTTCGCGACTGTGACGATAATTAAAATATGACCACAACTGAATTGTACGAATTACAATTTCGACTGTAATCAATAAAACATTTGCTCTGCGTTTCTGACATTTTTATTTATAAACATGTTATATTGGATTTAGTAAATTGATTGTTATTGGTTGTGTGCATGTTGATATTTCAGATGTTCCTTGCCGTTCGGGACACCTGTTCCAGTCTTGCCCGTCCGTAATAACTTACGCCGCCCCAACTCAAGCCATTTCCCACAGTCACGGTTCCAGTTTCGGAAAGGCCTCCCTTCAAAATGTACTTGGAGGTGTGCGGCAATTGTATTCATTATCTTGTCAGTCGTGCTTGCAGCAGGACTGACATATATGTCAGGTAAGAGCTGATTACTTCCATCGATATTTAATTACTCTGAAAAAATTATCGTCGTGTGTATTTTGTGCCATGTTACGTTACGTTGAATTGTGTGTTTATTAATTAGATTCATCAGTGTGAGGGAGATTAAGCCTGGTATCATAAAGGTTAATATGTATGATTGGTTAGTTTTCTGCAGTTTGTCTTCTAAATGTCCGATGTACAGTCGGAAGCACCGACTATAACAGAGTTGTTCTCCATTTTGTTGGTATCCCCTTCACTTCCGCGTCCTACGCCGTTGGTCCATCCAGGTTCATCCGCCTTTAGGGGCGATTTCTTACCCCAAGGGCCTCAACCCGCTCATCCGCCCTCCGTAGAGGCTGTTGGCACTTGGTAGAGGGGGGGCCACTTACATATATGTTATATTCTTTCCAGCGGTTAACCTATTGAACTGGTCATATCAGAGTGCCAAAGCTTGCACAGTTCTTGTCGGAGAAAACACAGAAGTTTTCTCCAAGTCACCTGCTGAAACGAATCGTTCGTCCGGTCGACCTCGACCATCTCCGGGAGGTAAATACCTGCACGCTGACGGCAATTCCGTGTCGTTACCTCCTTCTTCTGCATCACCACACAGTAAATTAGTCCCGGTGCACCTTCGTTGGCGTAGATCAGTTAACCGGCATGTCTTACCCCCTCCTAATGTTGTTGATACCCGTGGTATGAACGGTGATGACCCTGTCACTGTCCGTAATCTTGATGATGTTGATGTTACTGTGCATGTTGACAATTTAACTTCTGTGAGTTTGGTGCATGGCAGTATATCTGGCAACACCTCTGATGTTGCTATCACAGAGGATGGAGGGAATTTGAGCAATGAAGGAGGTGTGTCTCCGTCAGACTCCCAAAGGCATGCTAATGTGTCTGTCCTGCTTAATGTGAGTGTTTCCAAGACTAATGATACAAGTAGCAACACCAATATTGCTGAGGGACTTTTACAAGATGAGGGTAGTGGCTTTATTCCAACCAGGAGACATGTCGCTGCAAACATGCATGATCCTGCTCCAGATTCCATTCAGCGTGATTATCCTCCTGTGTACTCGTACGGTCAGGATGAGGTGGAAATCGTTAGGTTGAATCATGAAACAGTGACCTTGAAGTCAGGTGGTAGTAGCAGTCTCCCACAGCATACGAGCCCTGATGGGAACAGACTCAATAATGACGTCAGAGACATTTCTCCGTTTGAAGGTGAAAGTATCGACAGTCAGGATTCAGAGGATGAAACAGACAGGGCTCAACACGAAAGGGCCACGACCGGAAAGTCTGTAGTTACTACAACTTACCTGTCCGCATATCAGTCTGATGCTACGACTATGCAATACAGAGATGAGTTTAAGGCTGATGTCTCTTTGTTTCATACGTCATTAGAGAATCCTTCGCCGTTGAATAAACTAGAAGCAGAAATGGACAATAACGCAACTGAAAATGGTTCCCAGTCTTTTGCCGAGCATGTGTCACCAGAGCATGTTTTGAAATTAATACCGCATTTTGCATCTGAGAGTGTTGTTAACAGCCACGCCGAAGTATCTCGTAATATTTTGAATGTGAGTGCATCTGATGCATCATTAACAGCTTTGCCAAAAGTTGATGTGTTAGAACTGACACCTGATTCAAATGGTTCCTCCAAACACGCTAAACGTGTGCTTGTGAATGTGACGATAGCTACTGAGGATGCTGATCGAAGTAATGAGACGGGCTATCACTCCGGTAACCACAGTCCCGTGTATGTCCTTTCTGTATCTGTCCCTACCAATGGAGAGAGTGAGAAAGTTGCAGGCATTGACATAAGTCCCCCATCCCAGAAAGTTGCTTCTGTCCTGCTTGGTTTGAGCAATGAGAGTAGTAAGCAGACCTTTGTCACCAACCATGAACAACCACTGTCACTGCAACGAACCACCACTACCATCGCCCCACTTCCTACAACAACCAGTTTTCATTTGTGGGGCGGAGTTTGTGAATGTTCTTGCCCATGCCTCGATAACGCAGACGGCGAAAGTGACCCTGACTTGGAACGTGATAATATGATGTCTGTGTTGACTGACACATCAATAGTTACAGAAAATGTTACAATTACTCCAACACAGCTGGGAAATCACGCTGGGGAACAGAAACAAAGCGATGACAAAGCTCTATTGCCCGAAAATGTCGCAGCAGTCGAAGAGTCCAACATCACATCTGAAACATTTATAACAGATCCTGTTAAAATGACATCTATATCCCTGTATATGTCCACATCAGCTACTCCCGCCGAGACAACAGAGACCTCTACGGTAGAAACAACCACACTATATCTGAAGTACGACCCCTTTACGGAAAATGTCGTTGAGTCTGCCAGTGCAGAGGTTATGATCGACTCACGTCTGCTACCCGCGATGGAGAATGAGTCATCCACACTTGTCAGTGATGAAGTGACCGAGGTGTCGACAGATTATACAAGCGCCGAGAGTAGCACGCAGGACTGCCCAGCTGCCCCCATAGTCACTCCTCCTCCGCCACTGATCTTGATGATGAAAGGTAAGAGTGTACTGCTTCTAAATGGGTCAGTCCTTCGTTACCGGCATTTGAGCTCGTAGTGCTCTGAATTTTACATTGAGATAATTTTTCATCATTGTCTCTGTTAATGAATGATTTTTCTTTTGTACGTAATATTAATTCTTTGTTGTATATTATATGTGATCATCCTATTGTGGGACTAAATTTATAAAAAAAATGCAGTGTTCAAGGTTAAGTACAGTCGGCGCAGTAGTTTTTGGCCGGTGGAATTTTCAAGGGGAAGGCTAGGAGCGAGTCACTTGTGCTGACTGCACCGAGGAGCCCAAACAAAAGAAATACACTGACCGTGCCACCTCAGGTACACAGAGTAGGCCCGTCCGCCAGCTCCGCTAGCTTCTCCACCGGCCAAAAACTACTGAGCCGACTATAATACAAACCTGATCATATAACAAGGACTGACTGATATTAACTTTTTATGTAATTAACAGTAATTAGTGTTTGTGCATGGATATTTGGACGTGGTGTGATATTTGTAAGCATTTATGTATGTGGCATGGCTGATTGATAAAGGGAATTCTGCTGCTGGAACTAACATGTGGTGTAAGTAAAACTTCCCGTAGAGCTCCCAAATGACGGCACGCCAGTGCATGTTTCATGTTCGTGTATCTGCTTTAGAAGTTGGTGTTTGGTATATTAAATGTAACTGAGCCTTTTTCTAAGCATAATATTCATGATTTAAAAATGTATTTATTTTCATACCTTAGTGTTCACCATTATTAAACCTGCATACATATTATAGTAAAGCTTAACTACAGACGGGACATAATTGTAGCTACTAAGGATAACATTAGTGTGAGATGTTGCAAGATCCTAAACCTGATATTAATATCAAGCACAATTTAGAATTGCGTTTATAACAACTGCTTTGAGTTCTGACGTAAATGCTGATTTATTTTGTAGAAACTTTTGTTGCAATTTTAACACAGGATAAAAAAGTACCTATTCCATAAACAAGAAAAGTTACTTGCTGAAGTCTTTTATTGACATGTAAAAATGTACCATAGGTTTAGACCAGTGGTCCCCAACGCGGTGCCCGCCGTGGCTTTTTTTGGGTGCCCGCGTTGATACGGAAAGAGGTTATACTGATTAATGAAGGCCGTTCAACTATGAACATTATAAAATCAAAGCACAGATCTCGACTTAATGACGCCCATCTTGACGATTGTTTGCGAGCAGCAACGTCATCCTACACCAAATTTGAAAAACTGGCCGATGAAATGCAGTGCCAAACATCACACTAACTTCCCACTTGAGTAATAATAATTGTACTTATAAAACTACGTATTTTTGATTGCGTGGTTTCGTGTATCGTTAAACGTTGTGTTGTTTTGCGTATTATTTGGTGTCCAGAGAAAAGAAAATTTGGCTTTGTTAATTGGTTGGTGCCCACCACGATCTCATAAAAATTTCAGATGTGCCCGTAGGCACAAAAAGGTTGGGGACCACTGGTTTAGACTAATGGTTTGGTGAGAAATTAATTCATTTATTTCATATCTAATGTTACATTTAGCAGTTGGGCTTATCGTGCAGTTGTAGTAGTTATACAAATTAATTTACCCTTAAAATAACACGATTATACGATTATATTAGTGGCAACCATAACCTTAAAATCACTACATTATAACATATTTTGATTTGAAAAATGTTAGGGGGTGTAGGAATAGTTACCCTGCCCCCACACTTTTGACACTCCTAGTTCACATAGTAGTAGTTTACAGGTCTTACATCGGATATATTCACCTTACTGCCTAAATACTGAAGGGGAACCGTCATTAACGTATAGATAAAGATTTTTACTGTTTGATCGAGTTAAAAGAAGCTCTGAGATGGTCTCCGTTATCAGCCTATCAAATCTTTGAAATAAAAAATGTGAAAATCATTTTTAAAATGTAAGAAATAAAGCTGGCGTTTGTTCCTCTAAGTTACTGACTCCTGTTTGATATTTAATTTCATAGGAATTGTAGATTTGCATCTTCATACTAAATTGCAACCATCTAGATTATTTCTAATATAAGTGCTACAATGTTACGCCAGTGATACAAGTGACTGGTTCTTATTGCAGGTGGCAAAATTCCACCAAGATTATTTCCTCCTGATGGAACGACATTTTCGCAAATTTCTTTGGGTCAGAAATTATCAAAGGACATTCCTCCATATAGTTATTGGAATATGCAGTTTTATCAGTCGGAAGCCGCCTATGTCAAGTTTGATTACAGCATTCCACGTGGCGCTAGCATAGGTGTCTATGCGCGGCGAAATGCACTACCAACGCACACACAGTACCACATCTTAGATGTTTTAAGCGGTTTCAAAGCAAGAAGTAAAAGAGGTTCGCACGTAAGTAATTGTATAAACATGTTATCACTTTGAATTTAAAGTGTTTTATATATAGCACGCTAAGCTTGATGACTTTTCAGGATTAAAATAAATATAAAATCAGTTAATTAAATGAGTTCACTTTATTAGAAATGTCTATAACTTCGTTTTGCAGAAGGATATTTTCATTCCGCTCATTTATTTTTTTTTGATAAAGAGAATGTTAACCCATTTTGTGTGGTTTCAGTACCCAACATCGCATGCAGTAAGGAATCTTATGCTTTTAGTTTCAATAAGAGTTTGTAGCACAAACCTGAGTACCCCCTGACATTTTGATAAGTTGGTGTCCATGAAGAGAAAATGTCGTATATTTCTATGGTCTGTGAATTTACTATAGCCGTCAGTGAAGAAGGAAGTGACGCACTTTATGGATCCTGGCCACTGGTTTCTTTCGCTGTACAATGACGATGGAGATCCGCAGGAAGTCTCGTTTGTTGCCATCATCTCGGAAGATATGACTCAAAACTGCCCCAATGGCTGCAGTGGAAAAGGAGAATGTCTGTTAGGCCACTGTCAGTGCAACGCGGGGTTCGGTGGAGATGACTGTAGCGAGAGTATGTTTCAGAATGTTTATTTACTTGATACTACTTTAATTATGCAGCGCATGAAATTTCATTCTTTGTGGTTTGGTTACATTACCATATTTTGGTATAAGCGCACGAAATATAGGGGACAGGTTGCAAGAAAATGCAAGGTTTATGAGCTTATGACTTCCAGTTTAGAGGATTTGTGTCCTTCGAATGAATGTTGATCTGTGAAAATAATTTTGAAGTTCTAATATTTTACAAATTATTTATATTTTAAAAAATAAAACCAAATAGTAATGAACTGTCACAATTCATGTAATTTATACCTGTAAGAAATTCAGTTGTTCTTTAAAGAATTTTTGCTGTGTGTTGTTCATTTGTTATGCTAGAGCCCGTTGGGTGGGGCTTTGCTTGGTTTGCAGGCGTGTGTCCTGTTTTGTGCAGCCAACGTGGGGAATACATCAATGGGGAATGTCAGTGTAACCCTGGGTGGAAGGGTAGGGAATGCAGCCTAAGGCACGATGAGTGCGAGGTTCCCGACTGCAACGGTCACGGTCACTGTGTCAACGGGAAGTGCGCCTGTGTCCGCGGATACATGGGCAAGTTCTGCGAGGAAGGTAAGTTGTGGTTACTCGATATGTATGAGTTCTAATTCTAAAATAATGAAAATAATAATTATTAATTTAATTTAAGATGGCAGGGTTCTCTTTGCATAACTGCTGGAGAAGAATTATCCACATGTTTGCAATGTTTAAGTTTGTCATAGTAGAGAAAATGTAGATCGTGATCTAATGTTTGAGAGAAATATATTACCTCCATCATCAGGGTATACTGATGTAATAACCCAGAAGATAATTCCCATGTTTTAGTGTTATTTTGGATAGTACGGGTGGTAGTTCTTATGAACTCGTACCGTTTAAGTGTTATATTGTGATATGTCTTCATAAATACAGAAATTCTGTATCTCATGAACAGTAATAATTTGTTTGCACATAATGTAAAATGCTTGTTTTTCCCTAGGCCTCCACAGCATTGGTCTTCTAACGTCGCATTTTGCACGATACTGTTGCTCCGAGCTACTGACGTGAATTTAACGTTTATTTTTCAGTGGATTGTCCTCACCCCACATGTTCTGGACATGGATTCTGTGCGGAAGGTGTCTGTATTTGTAAGAAAGGGTGGAAAGGAGCAGACTGCAGCCAGATGGATAATGATGCCCTGCAGTGTCTCCCAGACTGTTCAGGTCATGGCAGCTTTGATCTAGAAACTCAGACCTGCAGCTGTGAGCCGATGTGGTCAGGGGAAGACTGCTCAAGAGGTTAAAAACTTTACTGTACTAAAACACAGCTCAGATATGTTTATGAAGACAGGTGTCTTCTGAGTTGTTTGCGTCGTAGTCTGGTAGAAGTTTGTCGGCATTTCAAAGGCAGCTATCACCTCTGAAACGTCATTAAACTACCGCGCTACGTGGCACAATGACCCAGAAGACGGCCATCGTCTTACTCACTACCACGAGAATTGAATTCTCACAAATTTATGTATTTATTTCTAAGAATTTTATTTCAGTTTGTTATGTTTGGAATTTTCTTTCAGGAATTAAAATCTTGACTTTGTTGTATGGATATCTTAGGATTATGGTTCTTGAGAAACAGACCTGGTACGTGGCATCTTCAGAACAACGAGTGTTGTTTTGAAGATTCCAGTCAGTACTTATACTTTTACCTTCGTCATATAGTAGTAACGGATATAAATTCCTGTGATGAGCTTAAAAATCTGTACTCCTCCCCCAATATTGTCAAAGTCAAGAAGAATGAGATGGGC